ATTATTATTATTATTTATTATTATTATTATATATTAGGTGTTGTTTCAGAAAATTGCAATTTTGCCAAATGCTGATGTGATTCCAAATGCTATACGTGATCATTAAATGAACTCAATTTTGTTTTACAGAAAATCAAAGTTAGTATTAGAAACAAAATGTTTTTGTTTAAAATAGTCAACATAACAAATTTGTGGAGAATCTTTTAAAGATTGTTTGAGGATATACAGTAAAACTTGCTCAATGTGGAATATCAAGGGTTGAGCATTTTTCTCCACATTACACAAGATTCCACCATATGCAATGTAATGCTGTGGAATTTACGATTTGTAGGCTTTATGTTCACATTAGGCAGATTTCCACATTATACATGTTCTGCATAAGTTTAACTGTATTAATGGGGGGAAAAAAGAAAAAGAGCATGCAAGCTTGTATTATCATAAAATGCAGATTTCCCTTTAGTTAAAAATGTTCTGATTGCGATAATTCATAAGTAATCAACTTTTTTTCTTTTCAATTTTGTACAAATGAAGCATTGGCTGGAACAATGTTGTAAGTTACATATTCTAAATTTTACCGGAGCGGTAAAAATTGATCACCTCTTAAAATTTTACTGCTGTAGGTGCTATATGCTCTTCTGACACTTGTATGTATTTTAAGTAGGTGATGGGTTTTAGGAAGGAAAATGCTCTAGAAAGAATATTCTATGACTTACAAATTAATATAATTTTATTGCATGGAACATTACATATCCAGAACACATACAACATTGTTATCCTAATATAGTACTTCTGGAAATTATAAATTGGCAGCAAACCTTAAATATGCGTGAGAACTTAATGATTTCCCTTCCTGAGTACATGATTGTGATATTCATATCTGCAGATATGTAAACATTCCTTGTTTCCTTGTGGTGAGTGCAAAAGCTCTCCTGTTTGGAAAATTATCCAATATGTTCCCTTGTATTTTTTCTAACTTGCTCTGTTGTGGGATGGAACCGATTCTTGTGGATCTCTTGTTTATCTATTATAGCTTTTATTTATTTTCAGTTTTAACTAGTACTTGAAGTCTTTGCGGTGCCACTTTCAATGTAACCCACAATGTTTTCTGACAAACACATTCTATTTTTCTGTTTAATAACATATAATATGTAATGGTACAATGCCTAAGTGACACATTCTAAAGTTGTCCTTTTCTGTTCTGAGATCGTTACCAACTGATGTGCTAGAAATGCTGACTGTTCATCACAACATTGTGCACGGATCTTATCAAAGAGCTGCCCTTTCAAGGCAAATTTATGGCATTGCAACCTACCCTGCACTTTCTGAAATTTATACATCCAGTTTAATTTAATTGATGCTATATCGTCAGCAAAATCGAATTACAACACAGCACGCATAAGCTATGGCATATACAACGTTGATTCACCCACCTCGTTTGGATGCTCCAATACTGGTTTTCTTGCATTCCTAGAGCTTATATTCCCTTCACCGGAATCTCTACTCACTTTTCTTACTCTACACTTCCACTTTTCAACATTTGTTTTCTTTTCTTGCCCCTATTACTGTCTTTTACAGTGAACAGTGAAATATTTATATGCTTGATTTGTCTCATCACTTGCAGCATTGTTCCAGTTAGACTATTCACACAAAAATTAACTTATATCATTGACATTTTATTAGAATGGTTAACAGTTTCATATTCAACATCGTTCCACAGAAAACAGCAAATTGAAAAAGGTGTCGCTTACGACATTGTTCACGCAAATGCTTCAATTCTATTTAACTTTCTTTGAAACATTTTACTTTTATTTGTATTGTGTGTATGCGTTTTTGGTGGTTTCATTGTATGCAACATGAACATAAGATTTCTCATTTTTTCCTTGATACAAGAGTAAGAGACCTTAACAAAAGCTCATTATTTGTTTCTAATATAATAAAAAATGATTGCATTATGATTTTTCAAATTTTGTTGTAAGTTTTGTTAATTAAAATTAATTAATTACTATTAATATTTGCTACATTTTCCAAAGATAAATTTAAAAATTCAGCATATGAACAAAGCAACAAATGACAATGTATGTTTGAACAATGGGAACTTCTTGTTTTCGAAACAACCTTTGAAAAAGATATCACTCAACAATACATATTTAATAAATACATTTCAATATAATTTCGTATTTTTGTAATTACACTATTAATTTGCACAAAAGGACAAGTCCAACTCTTGTGTTGCTAAGAAAGGTAGGGCTCCATTCTTCAATTTACGATTAGCCGTGTACTCAAGGTAATCACTTTCACGAAAGTGTTCAAAGCATACTCTTACATTTTTTACAGAATCCCAAGGTAAACCTGCAACAAACATAAATGTACATCATTATTTCCAATTATTAGAATTATTTTGAAATCAATAATTACTAAAGTTTGAAGATAATGAATACTGATCCAATATAAATACTTATGATTTTTTTTAAGTTTCTAATTTCTCATTTATGTGGAATAATATATGCAGTATAAGATTTTTGTCGAAAACCATGTCAAGATTGTATCCGAAATACTCATTTAGGGGTCCTTTAAAACTGAAAAAGTTGCGTTAGAAGGTACTTCTCATGAAACCCTCGAAACATTTTGAAAACATTCTTAAAAATTGCTCTAATTTTTTTCATTAAACTTCATGCTAGAATAGAGTAAAATAACTTATAAAGATGGCATAGGATTTTCTCTTATCTCTGAATTTTCAAAACTTGCAAGTTTCATATCTTTTGGACCACCTCAGACAACTACTGTATTGAAGATTTTTACTTTCTCACATGCTACATACATAGATATACAGAGAATGTAATGCCAAAGGGGAAAATATGATTTAAAAATTAAATTTACCGAAATTTTAATTTTATATGATACATAGGACTTTTTCAATTTTTTTCTCAAAAACCACTCTAATTTTTTTAAATTAAAGTTTGACCTTAGATTGCTTTAAAAAAATGGTGCAGGTCTCAATTTTGTTAAAATATCCGAATTCTTGAAAAACTGCCAAAATGTAAAATGTTTTTGGTGTCTTCCTACAACTATAGTATTGAAGACAGATTTTTCCCCTGAATAAAATCTGTTATTTAAAATTAAATCTTTAAATGACGATATATACTTTTTATTCCCCCTCAAAATACGACTAATTTTTGAAGTGAGGGCGTAGGCTTCCGCGGCCGGAGTCTGTATTTAATTCTAAGCTGTCCGGGTGGCGCGTCCACGGCGAAGGTGCCGACGCTTCAGTCGCCATTCTGCGACCTTCCTCATTACGCCCTGAGGAAGGCGACCGAAATGTCGGCACCTTTGCCATGGACGCAGCGTCACCCGGACAGCCTAGTAAATAATATTAATTTTGTGTAAAATAAAGGCAATTTTAAAACAAACTTTCACAAAAGCAGCTCCAAATCTTTTCTTTCAACTATTTGTTTGGACAGTGCTTCATACACTGAATAACATGACATAAATGTTATTTTGACGAAACTCAGATATTTCAAAAATTACACAAATGTTTTTTTTAAACATAACTCACATTGTTAATTCGTTTGTTTTGGGCCTTTTTTACTAAAATGTTTTCAGCGAAAATAGCTTTTTCAGAAATATTCACATCATATTTTCTCAAGAAAGGCTCAAAATTTTTCAAAGAAAATTTTCAATGTTTTCGTCTATAATATTTTTATCGGTATATTTCAATCCTACTGTTTGGACATTGATAGGTAACAACTGGAAAGAGGGTGAGGCAATATCAAAAAGCTAGCCCAGACACAAAGGTCAGTGCCATTTTCTAGCATCACTAGTTTTCTCAAAGACATTTGCCCTTCAAAAATAGATCTTTAGTTAATATTAAATACATTTTTTGAAAACATTAGTTATTTTCATGCAATTTTGAGTAAAATTAGGCAATTTTGAAAATATAATTTTCTCAAAAACTGCTTCTGATTTTGCTTTAACATGACATTCTGATGACAAGTTTCCACTCACAACTCAAAGCGTGTAGTTTGACACACATGATACGGAGTGGTTACTGTGTAATTATTTGACGATTGTGATATTACTCTTATGCAACACTGATTTAGCAGTTTCTTGGTCAATTATACTTACGAATTTGGGAAATAATTACACACTTGTGTAATTATTACACCCTTGTGTAATAATTACACCATAATATTTTATTAAGTTTTTCTTCTTCTACCCAACTAAGTTTCAATTACTAAGTAATCATTTTTTGCAGTATGAGAACTTTGTCAGATTCAATGCTATCAAGTATGGATATTTTATTAATTTTAACCATTCACACAATATTTATTTTTAAAATAATAAACATATATAATTTACCAATTAAATCTTCACGATGAATACACTCCAACCATTTCTGTCGAGAAATGTTGTTTCGTGGTAATTTGTGAAACGGCATCTTTGAAGATGTTGTGCAACCTCTTACACAACAATGGCCAATTTTCTGTTAAAAAATGAAATAAAGAATTAATGAAATACCTTATCACAAAACAACATAGTACCCACTGATATTAACTGAAAGGATACATACTACCAAGGAGTTATTAATATATATTCATAGATTCATGCACACTACTATACATTCTAAACCCGCGCGTAAACATTATGACAGTCGCCACAACAAGCAATCGCAGCGCTATCTATACACGAGTTCTGTCAACCGAACTAAAACTGTTTTCATCATGCTTTATTCTCCGGCTGTTCACCTGTCACATTCAGATTTGTTTTTATCTGAGAATATATTTACACCCAGGATGCACAGGGAGATGTAGATGTCAAAAGCAGGGTAAAAGTAAACCACCCCTAATCTGTCTGTTTGCGATAAGCGCTAAGCTCCGGAACATCACTGTCATTGTATGATGATAAATACAGTAGTTCACTTTGTTTCGATCTCATTAAGTTTGTGCAAACACTTACTCGATATTTTTCACCTAATTGTTCATCTGTATGACGTCGGTGTTCTTGGATAAGAGAACCAATAGATTCTAACGAGGGCGACACAGTTATCGTACCCCCGGAGTCACAGCCGTCTTTATGAGACAGCTCCATAATGCAAGGAGAACCTGCTGGAGAAGATACTGGAGAAACTTCATGTCTTGTTCCATCATCAGACGGTTCTGTGAAGACGTCTGTGTCGGAGTAGTTCTCGTCGATGACGCTTTTGCAGCCACATTTAAACTTTTCCACCCATGCGTAAAAACTGGTGCGGTTCATACAACTGCTGCCGTATTGTTTGTTCATCCGATAGAATATTTCTGATGGTTGTACACTTTCAGAAAGTAAAAATCGGATGACAGAACGCTGTTCTTCGAAAGAACTTTCTTCGAGGGGACACGCCATCGCCAAAGACATTAGAGGTTATGTGTACCGATGTGTCTGGAAATATCAAACGAAAAGCTGAAAAACACTCTTCGCAAGATTGCCAACCAACACACAAGTTTCAACTGTGTGCATGCAGCGTTTATATCACAAATACATGGTTCATTAAATATTAAATGTCCTATTTGCATAAAAAATAATGCTAAATTTCAATCCTTACAAGAATAACTTAAGTATTGTATTTTTAAACATTGTAACATTTTGTAAATTCTAAGTTTTATGTCTGTTGTGAAATTTGGTAATAGCAATGTTCAGATTGACGTTACAAGGATTGGCGGGGACTGATCAGGTCGAAAGCGTTGGGTGGCAAGCTCTCGTGTGCGTGTAAGCGTTTCCTAGAGCATTAGTATTTTTTTCCCTCTGTATTAGGTGATTGCCGAGGATTGTGCTTCGTGTCACGTTTGTTATTTACAATTATATCTTCATTTCGATCTGTTTAGGTCCTGGCTGCGCATCGTTCACAAATGTAATTAAAAAAGCACTATTCCATCAGACATGTATCTATATATACATCCAATTATGTGTGTGTGTATGTATATATATATATATATATATATATATATATATATATATATATATATATATAAACTGTGCCACGACCACTACTGCCCCTATTATTATTACTCGACTTAATTCACTTTATTTTATTTATTGGAGTGGTAGCTCTAATTGTAATCAGTTCTTGGGTGCTTACATACTTACACTATCTCAGGGTATCTATTCTTTTTCGTGAGCTGAAAATCGCCGCTCATACGAATATCGGACGATAAAGGTTTAAATTTGTTAAATGTTTCATTGCTTATTATTTTAACTAATCCTAATTAGAAATCAAATACTTGGTACTTTGTTTTGAAATTATGAGCGACATGAAGTGCCGATGGCAAAATTAATTTTTAATTTGCAATTCTTTTAGTTTCTGATGTTTAACAAAAATAATGTCATGCTTTCTTTAATTTTACCGATATTTGGTGGCCAGCGAGTATCTATTAGGAAAATGATAATTTTATTTTTATCTTAAATTTACCTCCTATAAATTAAAAAAAACATGTTTTGGCCTTACTATATTGTTTATAAAATCTTTTTTGAATTGCAGCATTATAAAAGAATCTTTTCTGATGCAAGAAATCGTTCATAATCAGGCATTTTACGGCACAAATTATGTATTAGATTTTATGTCACGAATGATTGAGTCATCACACATTCAGCCAATCGTAGGAGAATNTAGAGCTAAACTGAACAGCCGACCACCTTTTAGTTTACTCGCACGATGTCAAATTCCCGAGTCGTTACAGGGAAGTTGTTTCGCAAAATTAAGTTAATATATCTCTTATAAATGTATAATGCTGTTATACAAAAAATATAGTACGCAACTCGTTTATAATGGTGCTTTATTACATTCGTACAAATTTGAAAACTCGCTCCCAAAGTCGTTCGTTTTCAAAACATGTACTCATGCAATAAAGCTTAACATTATAAAATAATTGCATAAACTAATATTTTCAACTTAATAATAATTATTATTATTATATAATTAATAATAATATAATGTCTTTATTAATGGCGGAGGCTCAGAGGCCATAGGGGCCTGCTTTTCTCGCTAAACCACTGAATTTACATACATTTAGAGGAGTAACATTTTTAAGAGGGGAGGACAAAGCTGACATTACGTCTGGCGAGAACCAAACCTAGGGACCATCCCGGCATACGCCTTCAGCGATTGAGTCAACCAGAAAAACCTCAATCAAGATGGCGGCTTGGGCCGATCATTCATAAAACGAGTAGTTATACTCAGTAGTGAAAGGGAAGTTTCGGAAAGAGAAAGACGTACACGGGGAAAGGGTGGTCAAAAGTTATTAAATTGATAAAGTTTGTTGAGGGAGAGGGAAGAGAAAAAAGCGAAGGAAAGACGAAGAAGAAGTAGGCGAAAACAGTGAAGTTATTTGAGAACGTTACAGAAAGCTACGTTTTTTACAGTAGCAGTTTACAAAATATACAATAATTTTTACACAGAGAGCACAATCACTATAAGGCTAATAACACGTTAATTTTAAACACAATACTGGTCATGATTAAGGCACATACACAGAGAGTGCGCGGTATCTTAACCATCAATTTTTGTCCTTTATACCCAATATACTGTATGTATATCCCTGTATTGATGCTACTATACTATACATTATCGGTAAGATACCTAGAATTGATAAAAATTATCTATCTGGAACGCTCCACTTACATAGTACTTTTGAATAGTTTTAATAACAATTTCATAGGGTACACGAAGTAATGATTCTCATAAATTTTAGGTGTGAGAGGGAATGGAAGAATGAGGAATAGAGCAATGAGGTATGGGGTAGAATATTGAGAATAAAGAAGGGGGAAGTAGAAGGTGTTTAACGTGAGGCGGTGACCGGGGCTTGGAAGTGGACGAAGAAGTCTGGAGATTTGAAGAGACGTTAACGCCGTTCTATTGGTCGTTATTCTTACCCATGTGTTTAATTCAGCTTGAATTTGCCGAAAGTAATTTTAAAGGCTTTAGTCTCCGCTGGTAATTTATTCAGGCTCGGGATAGGCTGTCAATGGTGAATGATTTACTTGAATGAAAGTCGTGTTTGTGGACGTGGTACACAAAAGCCAGGGCTGATTCCATGAGCTCGATTTGTTTCAGAGGATTGATTTACTTATGAGGCGTATTGCATTGGAGTGACGAACCGTTTAAAACTTATAAAGAAAGAAGTAGAGGTGTAGTACGTCTTTTGTTCTAGAGTAAGCTACGAATTCTGTCAAAATTCGGAATACATGGTCGTAATTTTTCGTACGATCAAAAATAAACTTATGGCCATGCGTTGCTGGGCTACTTGTAGTTTACGTTGTAATTTGAAATGTCATGTGGGTCAGAAGAACAGGTTTCGCAAGAGTCGAAATGTGGCATAAGTGATTTGTGAGAGTCTCAGTGTGCCCTACCTGGTAATAAGTGCTCGCAGGCGTTTTCAGTGGAAGTTGGCCATGGGAAAGGGGCAAAAAACTTTACGGCAGTTGAATCTACGTGCGAGTCTCAGCTGAGAGTGTTGTCGAGTAACTACACCTAGGCTTGAACTCCTCAGAACACAAGGTAAAATGGTGTCATTTATATAAATATTAGGCAAAGGAGAAGATGAGATTGTTAATTCTAGTGCATTCGAGCTTGCATAACCGATGCACTTGATTTGTTTGTTGGGTTTAATTTTGTAAGCTTAAAGACGGCTGCCCAGTTTTGTTTACCCAACTATCAAAATCTCTTCACTTAATTTTTTGTAGCGAGTGAAACGAGGTGAGACGGGTGACACTTAGATATATGCTGGAGATCATCCGCCATACATTTGATGACTGCATATTTATGTGCATTTCCCACGTCATTTACATAGATTAAGAAGGCAGTGGCCCTAACACATGCGCTTGAGCAACTCCACCGGTTAAGCTTCAAGTCCCTTGAGCTATGGCTACCGGACACCACTCTTTGGGTTCTGAAAGTTAAATAATTAAAGAAACCATATACACGCGGGCTGTGCAACTCCCATGATCTTTAGTTTGGCGAGCAGGAGTGTCGTGATCTACTGAATCGAATGCTTTGCTGAAATATCCAGAAGAACCAAAATAGTTATATTACTGTAATCTATTGCTGTTCTCGCGTCTTTCAGTGACGTTTAGTAGCGTGGTTCCTGTATTTCTGCCGGAACGGAAACCTGATTTCTGATCGTTTAAAAGTGATTTTGTTCGAAGATACTGTTCAGTTTGCTTCGGACGACTTTTTCGAGTACTTTAGAGTAGTTGGAGATGCTAATTGGCGGTATTCAATAGGGTTTTTGGTTGATGCTGTCTGGGAATAGGATGCACGAGCGCAGTCTTCAGGATAAGGGATATTGCCCGCTCATTAGTGAGAAATTTACGATTTCGGTGATAATTGGGTACGTCACATCTAGCTATTTTTTAGCAGCTGGCATTATACATCGGAACCTGAAAGCATTTGATTGAGGACTTGAACGATTTTGATTATATCCTGATGTTCAACGGACGAAAAGAAAAATTTATCGTTTGATTTTATTTCTGCGTTTTGGAGAAACAAAAGAGATTGCTTTTTCAAGTTACTGTCAAGTGAAGGAACGCTGTTTATGAAACTGTGATTTAGTGATTCTAAGGGTATATTCGCTTCAATTTGGGAGGGACCTTTGCCTTATTCCTAGATTTTCAAATTTTTTCCACGATCGTTCTCCGAGTCACTGTTTCTCCGAATGTGGTGTGGTAATATTTTATTTTAAGCGTTTCGGCATTTCTGCGTAACAAAATTTCTGAGCATTTTGTAACTGTTTTTTAAGTAGTTCGCATTTAGTTTCCGGAAAATTGCATACGCCGCATCACGATCTTTCATTAAATTTCGAATTTCAGCAGTTAACCATGTGCAGTGAGAGACGAGTTACATGCGAAATTTTTAAAGGCGCATGCCGGTCGCAGAGCTGTGTTATTAAGTTAGTGAAAATATTTACTTTATCATCCAGTAAATTCTTCTTCGTGTACAAGGCGCCACGGAAGTGCCAATCCATCTATAATAAATGCTTGCTTATCAAATTTTGAAAACATCGCGGTATTTGATTATCGCGAGGTGAGTATTTAGGGCACTTTAGGTTGTAAACAAGATAAATTAGGTCGTGTTTTGAAAATCCCAGGAACTGAAAAATTGTCCGTGTTTTCGAACTTTGTTTACATTATACACTATAATATGATCGATCCAAGTTTCTGTATTCTTTGAGTGGTGTGTTGGTCATAGAGGTAAAATTTCGAGGGCACATGCTGTGGAAAACCGCGTAAAAAGCCTTGCAGAGGGAGAAGTTTTAATAAGTTATGATTAAAGTCACCCATTACAATAACGTGTTCATAGGAATTTATCGCAGATGCAATTGGTTTCGTCCAGCATATCTATGCTGCCTGTCTAGGAGGTAAATATATTACAGCCAAGAGACATTTTTTCCCTAAAAGTCCAACTTCAATGAAAAGATATTCGCTACGCAGGCAATCCGTATTTGTTGAAGATAGTAAAG